ACAAAAGCAACTCAATGTGGATTTAGGATCTAGGTCTAAAACCAAGGAATATAAACTTCATTACAGAAAAGCTTCGAAGAACTCTAGAAGTACATAAACAGTCTTCCAAGCATCCTGAAAAACCTACAACTAGGAGAGGATAAAATTGATGAATGGGACCGTCTAAGAATCAAATCCCCCACCACAACAAGATAAAGGAAAACAACCCAATTGCAAAGTGCGCACAGGATATAAACAGACAATTCACCAAAGAATACATTCAGATGGCAAACAAACACGTGAAGAAATGTTCAAAATCCCTAGCTCTAAGAGAGATGCAAATCAAAACAACTATGAGATTATCATCTCAACCCAGTCAGAATAGCAAAATTTAACAGAACAGAAAACATCAAATACTGGTGAGATTGCTGAAAAACTGGAACCGTTATTCACTGTTAGTGGGAGTGTAAAATGGTGCAACCACTATGGAAGGCACTTTTATTCTTTCTCAAAAATTTGCAAATAGAAATACCATTTGACCCAGAAATTCCACTTCCTGGAATATACCCTAAAAATACCATAACTGCCACCCAATCAGATATATGCACACCCATGTTTATTGCTGCTTTGTTCACAGTAGCAACTTGGAAACAACCCAAGTGTCCATGAACAAATGAATGGATAAACTGTGGTATATTCACACAATGGAATACTATGCTGCATTGACAAACAAGGAACTCATGAAATATTATACAAAATGGGTGACCCTGAAGGACATTATGCTGAATGAAATAACTCAGTCAAAAAAAGACAAATACTGCATGGTGCCACTGTTGTAAAATGGGACTGACATCTAGGGGGGGGAACTAAGTAAAGAGGGGATAAATAATGCACACTACATTGACACAGGTGAGGGAGAGAACTGTTTAAAAGGGATATATGATTAGATATTGTAATGACAAGAGTTCAGAATGAAAGATGTATAGTGGAGTGGATGGGGGCGGGATTTTATAGCAATTAAAGAGGGTTTTTTTACTTTTCATAAAGAAAAGCAAACTGGGGAAGGGGTGGACATGGAGGAAAGTGTGCAAGAATGAATGAATGGAAATCCAAAGTCTGTAAACTTTCATTAAAATTTAATTTTAACTCATTAAAATTATTTTCTTGAGGTTGAGATACAATCCATACAAGTGCTTCAAGTTCTCTTCGCTTTTAGTAAGCAAAGTGGGTCATCTACATAACACAGGTTACTGATAAGTCATCCTCTGCTTTTGATGCCACATTCTTCTTCATAAAGTACAGTTTCTGGAATAATTTGCCTAGCACATAGATTATTTAGGTATGGAGAAAGAATACAACTCTGGCACACATCTTTCTTAATTTTAAACCATGTAGTGTTGCTCCCTTGCTCTGTTCATACAATAGCCTCTTGGTGTAGATATAGCTTTCACATCAGCACATTTAAGTGCTCTGGGATTCCCAGTCTTCTCATTGTTAGCCATCATTTTTTTATGATCCCACAGTCAAATGCCTTTGAATAGTCAGTAAAATATAACTAGGCATTCTTCTAGCATTTTCTTTTTGCTTTAAGCAAGGATCCATCTGATATCAGCAATGATATCTGTTGATGTCACGGCCACTTCTAAATTTTGCTTAAACTTCTGACAGTTCCTTATCTCTGTATTGTTCTAGTCTAGTCGCTTTTTAATGATCTTCAACAGTATCTTGCTTGCATGTGATATTATTGATATTGTTTGATAGTTTCCACATTCTTTTTTTTTTTTTTTTGTTTTTTTAATTTTTATTTTGTGTGCATGTACCGTCAAATTAGATCTGACTGGTACAGGAGGATATTGCGCCTCCTTCTCCGGCAGAGCATCTGGTGGATTCGAACCGTGTTCCTCTGGGATTGCAGTGCAGCTTCTTGCCACTAGGCCACCAGAGCTCCCGACATTCTATTGTATTACCTTTGTTTGGAACGGGAACAAATACAGATCTCAGTCAGTTGGCCAGACAGCTCTCCTCGAAATTTCCTAGCATACACCTGACCATGGTGTACAGGTTTTGGCAGAGCTCCCTGATTAAAACAGACTAGGAAGTGGGATTAGCCATTCACTTCTTAAATAGCGTGCCTATGAAAACCCTATGAACATAGAGGAATGTGGATAATTATTAGTGGTAAAGCCCAGATTGGAAGTGAGTTGAAATGAGGAAAAATAATGACAAACATCCTTTAATAACTGGAACATGGAATGTATGTAGCTTGAATCTTGAAAAGCTAGTGATTGTGAAAAATGAAATGAAGTGCATGAACATCGACATTCTAGGTATTAGTTGAGATGAAATGGAGTAGCTTTGACCACTCTGCATCAGATAATAACTTGGTATATTATGTTGGGAATGAAAAGCAGAAGAAGAACAACGATATTGCATTCATAGTAAAAAGTAAATTTCAAGTTCTATCCTGAAATACAACATGGTAATATGATTTTATCCATACATGTACAAGGAAGACTGGTTAATAAGATTATTACTTAAATATATGATCCTACATCTAGAGCTAAAGAGGAAGAAGTTGAAAATTTTTACCAAATCTTGCAGTCTAAATTACACAAACATGTAGTCAAGATGTACTAATGATAACTGGTGATTAGAATGCAAAAGTTGGAAAAAATGAAGAAGGAATAGTAGTTTGGAAATATAGGCTTGGTGATAGAAATGAGGCTGGAAATAGAAATTTTGCATTCTCGATTTATTTATTGCAAATACTTTTTTAAAAAAACACAAATGGTGACTTTAAACATGGATCTCACCTGATGAGCTGCCTATGAATCAGACTGACTACATTTGTGGAAGGAAATGTTGGAGAAGCTTAATATTCGCAGTCAAAACGAGGCCAGGGGTGGACTGAGGGCAGACCATCAATTAGTCATGTGGAGGTTCTAATTGAGGCTAAAGAAAAGGAAAACAAGTCCAGAGAACCAATCGTGAGTCTATTCCATCTGAATTTCAAAATTATTTTAAGAATAGGTTTGAAGAATTGAACATCAATGATCGAAGACCAGATGCATTGTTGGATGATATAAGCCATGAAGAGAGCAAAAGGGTCATTACAAAGACAGAAGATAAAGAAAAAAAAACCCAAAATGGATATCAGAAGAGACTTAAAAACTGCCCTAGTGTGTGAAGAAGCCAAAACAAAGGGAAAACAAGCCGAAGTAAAAAGAACTGAAGATTTCAAAGGGCAACTCGAGAAGACAAAGCAAAGTATTATAATGGAATATGCAGAAAGCTGGAATTGGAGAATAAAAAGGAAAGCACTCACTCTGCATTTCTCAAGCTGAGAGTACTGAAAAAGAAATTTAAGCCTTGAGTTGTGCTACTGAAAGATGGTATGGGAAATATATTGAATGACCCAGAAAACACCAAACAAGATGGAAGGAATACACAGAGTGCCAAAAAGAATTGACACTGAAAAAATTCCAGGAAGTACCATATGAGCAGGAGCCAATGGTAATGAAGAAGGAAGCTGAAGCTGCACTGAAGGCAATGGCTATATATAAGGCCCCAGGAATCAATGGGATACCAATTGACTTGTTTCAATTAGCTCTAGGTGTGTTCACCAGTTACAATGTGGGAGCTGTAATTAATGTCACAAAAGAAAATATGTAAAAACGAAAAAACAGTTTGAGGGAAACGGTAACACCCCCGTCTCCCCCCCCCCCAAAAAAAACCCCAACAAACCAAAACCGAAACACTAACAGCACAGCCAACGACTGCACATTTTCAGTGCAGGTGGACAAAACCGTCATGCAAAGCATCATGGTAATTAGGTAATAATGACAGATTTGACTCGACATTAAATCAAACCCATTGCCATTGAGTGCATTCTTGCTCCAAGTGACCCTGTAAGGCTGAAAGCTCTTTATTCATAGCATTTCCAGAGCTGTAAATCCGTACACAAGCCGACTACTACATCTTTCTCCCCAGTAGCAGTTGTTGGAATAAAAGCATGTGACAAATGCTTTAACCACATCAGCAGGGTTCCTTAGAAGGTTCAAAAGTAAATGAACAGAGTATTAGCCTTGTAAGTATATTACTATCTTAAGCTAGATTTCAGAAAAGTGATTTTGTTGTTATAACTACAGGATATTTTTGCAAAAAAAGTGTCTTCTGAAACGCTACCCAAAATAATTTTACAGTTTTTTGGGTTTCTTTTTATGTCACCCTAGTGCCACCTGGTGTGGTCCACACTTGTCCTTCACTACTGTCTAGGGCGCTGCTTCAATTCCTTTCATTAGTTTTTTCTCTTTCTCAAAACGAATTGTTTCCTGAAGTGTTTCATCAGAGCACTCGGCTCTTTGCTCTATTAAATCAACGTAAGTACAACGCAAGTATTCACGTAAGTACAAATTTCTCTCCTTCACTAGAACGTCAACTCTTGGAATCCAGCAGTCCACACCTGCAAGGGCCCAGCTCCAAGTCTGTGGGTGGCACCTAGAAGAGGCAGGCACCTACCATAAATTTATAGGTGTAAATTTTTCTCCTTTACATTGAATCTAGGCAACTCTGGTGGCCTAGTACCAGGAAGCTGCGCGGCAATCCCGAAGACACCCAGTTTGAGGCCACCAGCTGCTCCAAAGGAGGATAGGCAATGTCCTCCCGTGCGATTAACTGCCTCTGAAAACCCCTAAGAAGGTCAGCTATGAGTCGGTTCTGACACACCACCACCATTAAATTGAATCCAGGACAGGTTGGCTATAGATGTAGAGACACGAAGCAGAAATGCCAAGGAACTCAAATAACTGGTTTGTGTCCAAGAATGAGGGGTACACAGCAAACCCACACGTAAACCCCTATGAGCGAAGAGCCTGTCGCTGCAGCAGCCAATCATCTCTCAGCTACTCAAATTCCAAAGTGCACGAGATGACGCTTAAGCACCTCTGCTTCCGCTCCACAGCCCGGTCACGTGAGGCTGGTGAACGGGCTCTTCCGGCACTGTACCCCGGAAGCGGAAGTGCTGTCTAAGCTGTCAGAGTCTGCATGCTTGTCGGTGGTCCCTGCCACTAGGGAACTCGAATATCGTCGTATTTGCCGACTGTAGAGCACTTCTCCCCTCCTCGCGGGTGGGAGTGCAGGAACCAAGGTACAAGATGAGCACCATGTTCGCTGACACACTCCTCATCGTCTTTATCTCCGTGTGTACGGCTCTTCTCGCTGAGGGTAAGAGAAGCTATGTCCTTGATCTTTGATCAGCACCGACGGGGAAGAGTTTAGGCGTGGAGACCCTCGGGTCTCTGAAGAAGTAAGGTCGTGACCTTTTCTTGCTCTGAAAGTTCAGGTCACTGCAGGAAACTTCGGCGCGACTCCTGAGCAGGAGGCAATAGGAGTAGTTTGGGAATGATTGCATAATATTCTTTGATCTTCAGTCCATCTCGCCCTTGTGTGTATATAGACACTTCTGCATCAAGTTGCAGTTGTTTTGATTGAAGAGTCAGTTATCTTTACAATTTAAAATAATTAACAATGCGTAAATAAAGAATCCTGGATTTGTCCTGGAAAGGGTTAAACCGGGTGGCTCCTTGGAGGCAAGGATTCTGAGGCTCCGTCTAACATACTTTGGACATGTTGTGAGGAGAGACCGGTCCTTGGAGATGGACATCATGCTTGGGAGGGTGGAGGGACAGCGCAGGAGAGGAAGGCCCTCTATGAGGTGGATTGATTCAGTGACTGGGATAATTGGGATGAGAGTGTCAGAGACAGTGCGATTGGCACAGGACAGAGCGGAGTTTAGGGCTGTTGTACATAGGGTCGCTATGAGTCGCAGGCGACTCAATGGCACATAACAACAACAACAAATAAAGAGTTGTTATCCTTCTTTTCCCAACAGTAATTACTAGTAGCAGTTTGTTGTGACAACCCCAAATATTTCCTTATGAGCATGTTACTTTTACTCTTTTTTTTTTTTTTTTCAGGCATAACATGGGTCCTGGTGTACAGGACAGACAAGTACAAGAGACTGAAAGCAGAAGTGGAAAAACAGAGTAAAAAATGTGAGTATGGCCACATCTTCTAAAAGAAATTTCAACATATCCAAGTCATTGAATGCGTGTTTACCATAAATATCTTAGGAGTACAAACATTATTGGAATACAAAGATGAATCTGATGCAAATTGAAGTGAATTTGAAATATGTGTGTACCAAAAAAATATCGTACAAATGGGGGGAAAAAAGAGAAACATCCATGGGAGGTATGTATTCTGTATTAACAGTAATTCTTACCCATTTGTAAAATAGGGCATCTATTCACTTGTGCGGTGCCATGGAATCCTTCATGGTCCAGAGGATTTTGCAGTCCTTAGTGGACCACTAGAATTTGGTTAGAGAATGAGGTTATTGTTGTCATGTGTCATTGAGACGACTGCGAGTCATAGTAACACTGTAGACAACAGATCTAAACCTGCCATTTCCTGCACCATCTTCATGATCTCAAGCCTGTTTTTACAATCATGGTGTCAGCCGATCTTGTTGAGGAAATTCCAAGTGAAGGAAGACAGCATATGAGCAAAAATTTTGACATAAAAAGGGAGTTTGGAAAATAGCAGATCATTATTGCTGGTGTTGAGAGAAGGAGTGTCTTCAGGGGAAAGCCAAATTTCAGTTGTTTGAGTTGGTTGATAGTAGGTTTGGGAAAAAAGTTAAGAAGTAGAGTTTTTTAATTTGAACTAAAGCAGGAATCGCACAGGTCACAGATTAGAGAAAGGTTCTAATCTGTTATTCAACAGCGTATAACACGACTTGGGCACAGCTGAGGGGATCTAAGAGAACTGTGGTTATGAGTATAATATGAATAGGTCTTTATGGGCCAAGTTTGGCTTTTGCTTTTTTTTTTTAAAAAGTTCCTTGTAAAGTTTAAACTTAAAAATAATTCCTTTATATTGTTGAATTTTTATTTATATTTTCATGAAAATTAGAAATTTCTTTTTTACAAGTACCTCACTTGACCTACACAATAACCATTTGCAGTAATCATATAAATACTGTTTTAATGTTATAGAAAAGAAACATAGAAGCTAATTAGAAAGAGTAAGTTATATCTCATAGCAAGCAGAGAATTTGTGCCTAAGCTCAGTTTTTAAAGTACAGTTTGCCATTTGTATTTGTTGTTAGGTACCACCATGCAGCTTTGCCAAATGTGATACATTACTTGATTTCTTAACTGCTACTTCCAGGAGTGTTAATTGTGGATCCATGTAAAATGAAATCCTCGACAACTTCAGTACTTAGTATGGGGGGATATTTAAAAAGAAGAATATAAGCTAAATTTCCCTTATGAACAGAAATTCTAATGCCAAGTATATAGTCTTTCCCGACATTGTTCAGAATTTTGTTTGGCTTTGGGCAAGAGACAACAATAAAGGGCAAGAAAAGTTTCTAGAAGCTCCAGTCTCATGTAAGTTATTTTGTTGTTGTTGGTGGTTGCCTTTTCTCCTTGTGCGGATCTTACTTATTCTTGGCATTATTTGGTGAATATTAGTACTATCCCCAAAACAGTCTTACTGAGTTGGGGTCTTAGATGAAAGATATGCTTTCTCACAAGACACCAAGTTTCTAGGTGTTCTTTAAGTATTAGTAGGATTGCTCTCAGTGTGTTACTGCACTAAAACAGAGAGAATGCTTGAGTAAATAAGAAAGATTAAAGTATATCTAACTTTATTTTTAGCCAGAATATTTATTTGAAAAATTTATGAACTATTACTGTGAAGGATAAACTGTTTCTGTTTTTAGTGCAACAGGATAAAGCTTTTATGATAATATGGAAGCTGTTTTGACAGAAACCTGGAATTCAGCATGCAGCAATAGCAGCACATGGCCAAAGATGTGTTTTTGTAGTAGACATCTTTTGTTTTTGTTAACTTTGACATATCTGATTCTTATTATGAGGTTGAAGTTTTGGTGAATAAGTATCAACTTTAAAGGATTTCTCTGCAATCTCATGAAGTTTGAAAAACATTAATTTATCTTGTTCCTAAAAAAACAAAGATTTCTTTAGTCTTAAAATCCAGTCTCTTAGAAGTCTACATTAATATTTATAGTATCTTATATTTTTAGTCTTCTGTCCCCCAATATCCCTGTGTTTATCACATAGTCTTTATTAAATACCAAGTAGTTGTGTGATAGTCCTTCTAGGATAAGAAAGAAATATTTTGCTTTTTTGGGTTAATAATAATGATAAAGGGTAAAAAAAAAATCAATGTTTCTTATTTATTTTGTGGTTAAAATGGGTTTTTAAAAATTCATAATACCATAGAATTTGACTTAATTTTTTTGCATGTCCTCAAGCAGGTTCATCCTAAAACATTCTCTGTACACACACATATACACATTTTTCACTCAATACTTTAAAATTAGTTTGTAGTAGTGGAGTAAAATTGAATTTTACATCTCATTACCACGTTAGTAGTTCCAGTGTTGTAGGGAGCTCTGGTGGGTTAGTGGTGAGGAATTGTATCACCTGCCCGAAGGCATGCATTTCAAATCCATCAGCTGCTCCATGGGAGACAGACGGGCAGTTTCTTCCTGTGTGATTTATTTCCTCTGAAAACCCACTAGAGGGTTAGCTATTGGTCAGTTCTGACTCAGTGATACACAACAACATACTTAATATATTAAGGCAAAGAATCCTACTTACCAATTTTCCTTAAAACATCAAAATGCATAATACTGTCTTTATTGCTGTGTTATTTACAGTGGAAAAGAAGAAAGAAACCATAACTGAGTCAGCTGGTCGGCAGCAGAAAAAGAAAATAGGTAAGTTGAGATATTGGTCTGAACCACAGTTTTGTTGTTGTTCTTACATGCCATGGAGTCAACTGTGACTCGTTAGCAACCCTGTGAACAATGGATTTGATCCCTGCCCTATCCTCTGTCATCCTCACCATCTTCAACACTGTGTTCCAGTCACTATGTCAGCCCCGCTTGAGAAGGTCTTCTTCTCTTATGCTGATCATCCACCTTTTCCATGTGAACCCAATTTAGGTTGTTGTTGTTCTGTACCATCGACTTGTCTGTGCCTCATAGTGACCCTGTGTACAACAGCTTTGAACCCTGCCCTATCTTGAGCCAAGTTCACTGTCTCTGACACACTTAACTCCATTGCCCTAGTTACTGTGTCAATCCATATTATCCATGGTCTTCCTCTCCTGTGCTTTCCTCCACCCTTCCAAGCATGATGTCTTTCTCCAAGGACTGGTCCTTCCTGGCCACATGCCCAAAGTATGTGAGATGGAGCCTCAAAATCCTTGCCTCCTGAGAGCAAATTGGTTTCACACTCTCCAGGACAGAATTATTTGTTCTCTTGGTGGTCCAAGATAGGATGAGTTCTATTAATTCTTTTTTTTGTTTCTAGCTTTGAAGTTTTCCGTTTTGGTGAAAAAATGTTGACAGTATAGATCTTAAACTTAGCTGAGGGTTCTTGTCATAGTCTTACTTTCTTCTCTGTCTTGATACTTTTATGTCTGTGTTCTTTCATCTATGTCTTCCTTATTGTGCACTGACCAGCAATAAAAATCCATCAAAGAGTGAGAGAATCAGCTGTATGTCAGGGGCTTGGGTTTTTGTTTCCATGTAGGTCACTGACATTATAACCTAAGAGAAAGTGAAGTGTGCCAATTGCCTGAGAAGATTCTGTCCATCTTTCTCCTAAGAGTTCCTTGGTGAATTTGAACTGTAAGAGAGGTTAACAGCACGACTCCGTACCACTATCACACCAGAGCTTCTTCTAAAAGGAAAGGAAAAGGATAACTCAGTTGACTTAGGAGATCAGGTATCCTTGGAGAGACAATGCCTTAGCTGAATCTTGAAACTTCAGGCTGATTTAGCTAATGAAAATGTAAATTGAGAAAATTATTGTTAGGTGCCCTCAGGTTGACTGTGACTTATGATAACTTTATGGACAGCAACGTTGCCCTGTCGTGAGTTGTCTTCTTCTTCACCATGCTCGAGCCCCCTGGTGCAGTCACTGTGTTGGTGGATCTTCTTTAAGGTCTGTCTGCCTCTTCACAGACCTACTACTTTTCCAAGCATGATGTTGTTTTCCAAGGACTGGCCCCTCCTGACAGCATGCCCAGAGTGTGTGAGACAAGTGTTGCCATCTCGCCCTTGTGGAGTATCCTTCTGTGTTGCCCAGTGTTTCACAAAGTCTGGATCATTGTTTAATGTTGTGCAGTACTTAATTGTGTGAACATACCATAGTTTCTTTATTAATTTCTCTGTTCTTTCTGTCTTTTTACTATAATAAATAGTGCTGCAATGAATATAGGTGTGCATATATCCATTTGTATAGCAGCTCTTATTTCTTTGGGATGTATACCCACAGTGGGATTGCTGGATCAAATGGTATTTCCATTCCTCCTTTCAAAAGAAGGGCCAAACTAATTTCCATAGTGGTTGCGTCATTTTATATTCCCACCTGCAGTGTCTGAGAGTTCCATCCTACATTCTCTCGACATCCTCACCACCATTTGTTGTTTGCTGTTTCATTGAGCTTTATTATTATTGTTGCTGGGGTGAGATGGCATCTCATTGCTATTTAGATAACACTTATTCAATCTATGCTGAGCAAATAATTTGAGAAGTTGGACATTATGCAGAATGTAGCATCAGGATAAGAGGAAGACACAACAACTTATGTTATACAGGAGACACAATTTTTTTTTTGCTGAAGGTGATAAAGATGTGAGATGTTTGCTGCAGAATATCAAGGACTACAGATTTCAATACGGATCTCATCTCAACATGAAGAAAACAGAAATCCTTACCATTGGGACAGTAGACAACATCATGATAGATGGAGAAAAGATTGAAATTGCTAATGATTTAGTCTTAAGTGGATCCATTATCAACACCCTTGGTACTAGCAGTAAAGTGATCAGGAGATATATAACATTGGGAAACTCTGCTGTCAGGGACTCCACAAAAATCCTGAAGAGCAGTGTTGTCAGTTTAAAGAGTAAGGTGCACGTGATTCAAGCCATATTCTTTTCATTCACTTGCTGTGCATCTGAGAGCTGAACAATAGTAAGAATAACAGAAGAAGAATTGATACTTTTGGGTTGTGATGTTGTAAAAGAGTATCAACTATCCCATGGACTGCCAAAAGATCAAACAGATATGTCTTGCAGAAAGTGCAACCAGAGTGCTCTTTAGTGGTAAGAATGGTGAAGATTTGTCTCACATCTTTTGGGCATATTGATAGGAGAGATGGTTCCTTGAAGTAGTACATCATACTTGGAAAAGTGGAGGATCAGCAAAAGACAGGAAGGCCCTCAATAAGATGGATTTGGTATAGTGATTGTTGCAGTGGGCTCACGTGTGTTGGGGAATGATAAAGACGACCCAGAATAGGATAGGGTTCAGGTTTGTCATTCTTATGGTTGATAGGAATTGTACTCATTGGCATTTAACAATAACAACAAACAATAGCTCCTGTGGAGCTCTGGTGGCCTAATGGATAAGGAGTTGTTCTGCCAGCCTAAAGTCTTAACTAGAATCTGTCAGCTGCTCCTTGGAAAAATGATGAACAGTCTCCCAGATGATTTAAAGCTTCTGAAAAGTCACTGGACATTAGGGGGTCAGCTATGAGTTGTCTCTGGCCAGACAGAACACTACAGTATCTAACAGTCTTGAGCATTTCTTCATGTTTATTGGCCATCAGAATGTCATCTTTGGTGAAGTGTCTTTTCATAGCCTCAGCCCATTTTACAATTGTGTTGTTTGTCTTTTTCTTGTTGAGATATTTTAGTTTTCTAAAAGTTTAAGAGTATTATGAAGGCCACACTTGTAGTGTACATTCTGTGCAAAAAAGATAAACATACACAGACTCATTGAGAAGGGAAAAAGCATTGAGGAGTAAAGTAGCACATAGTTAAGGATGATAAACAATATTGTCTTCACTGACGAAGGGAGCACTACATGGTTCAAAAATGGAGAAAGTACGTCAGGGAATGTATCCTTTCTCCATACCTTTTCAATCTGTAAAAGAGTGCATCAGGGATATATCCTTTCACCATACCTTTTCAGTCTGAAAGCTGAACAGATCATTCAAGAAGCTGGACCTTATAAACTTATAAAGAATGTAGCATCAGGATCAGAGTAAGACTCATCAACAACCTGTGTTATGCAGATTATACAACTGACTGGATGTAAATGAAGAGGATTTGAAGCACTTGGCTGTAGAAAATCAGAGACTACAGCCTTCAATGTAAATTAATTGCATCTCAACGTCAAGAAAAAATACTTACCATTAGGCCAATAGATACCATTCTTATAGATGGAGAGATGATTGTAATTGTTTACAGTTTCATCTTGCTCCAATCCACAATCAACACCCCTGGTACCACCTGTTAGGAAATAAAAAAACGAGTTGCATTGGGAATATCTTTGTCAGGGACCTCTTCAGAGTGTTAAAGAGCAATAGGATCAATCTAAAGAGTAAGGTATGCTTCATCCAAGTCATGATCTTCTCAATTGCTAGCTCTGTGTCTGAAAGCTGGACAGTGATGACAGAAAAAGAATCGATGCCCTTGAGTTGTACTGGAGAACAGTATTGAACATACCATAGATTTCCAGGAGAACAAACAGATCTGTCCCAGAGAATGTAAAACCAAAACCTCCTAGAAGCAAGGATGGTAAAAAAGCTTAATCTTGCATACTTTGGGTATATTGTCAGGAGGGGCCAGTCCTTGGAGGAAGACATTACACTTGGAAGGGTTGAAGGCCAGCACAAGAGCGGAAGACCCTGGATGAGATGGATTGACACAATGACTGTGGCACTGGGGGCATGTATGTCAGAGATGGTGAGATTAGCTCAGGATAAGGCAAGTTTCAGAGCCATGACTGTTCATAGGGTTGTTAGGACATGTAGTTGACTTGATGGCAAATAACATAAAAATGATATAAATGTTCAAGCAAATGAAGCCAGAGAAATCAGTGGTTAAAGGCTTGTCTGTTAGCTGAAAATTCAGAAGTTTGGACCCACCAGGCACTCCTCAGGAGGAAGATGTAGCATTCTACTTCTGTAAAGACTCATAGCCTTGGAAACCCTTTGGGGCCCTTCTACTTGTATAGGGTCACATTGACATGGGACTGACTCAACAGCAGGGGATTTGGAAGTATGTTTGTTTTAGTCCATAAAGATAAGTTAGCTTGAGAACTTTAACTTCTCTCAGGTGTGCTTCAGACAACCATTAATGGATCTTGCAGAAGACAGACATCACATTTAGTTTAAAGAATTCAGCTTTAAGACTAACTTGGAGAACAAATAGGAGAAGGGACCGTTTTGAAGACAGAGAGTAAAAAAGCTCTTAAAGGATCCAGGCAGAATAGTGATAAGAATCTGAACTTGATTAGTGTTAGTGGGAAAAGATAAAGAAGAGGCAGAAGTAATAGGTCTTGGTGGCATTTAGAAAAAGGAGCAGGGTGAGGTGGGGGGGTGGTCTAAGAAGAAGCCCAAATTTCTGATTTGTTGTTACAGTTAGGTGCCGTCAAGTACAGCTCATAGTAGCCCTATGAACAAAAAGATCAGTACCCTCTTCTATCCTGTGCCAACCTTACACTTCCCGACACACAAGAGCTCATTGCAGCAGTTACTGCGTCAATCCACTTAGTTGGAGATCTTCCTCCTCTTCACCAACACTTTACCCTTTCCAGCAGCTTATCCTTCTCCAAGGAATAGCCCTTCCTAGCAACATGCCCAAAGTATGTGAGGAAGGAATTTTGGAGGAGTAGTAGACTAGTGTAGGATGGAGAAGAAAAGATTTTTATTTTGAACATGTTGGATTTGAAGCAGTGGAGTAGAAATATTTGGTACACAGGTGGATGTACAGTCTTAGAACTGTCAGATAGTTAAGGAATACAAATTGATTTTTTTTTTACTTTTTCTAGTAATTTGAGTGAAAGTTTACAGAACAAATCCATTTCCCTTTCAGTCATTCATACACATTTTGTTTCATGACATTAATTACAACCCTTATATTGTAACAATACTCTTTGTGCTTCCTTCCCATGATATAGTCTCCAGTCATTCTTTTGTCCTTTGCTGCCCTCTGAACTTCATGTCGGCACAAATAGTGCCCCTTTGTTCTTGTATGGCTGAAGGTTCTAAAGATTGAGGACCTTCTGGGTGTTCTTGTTTATCTTAAACTCCTGTCTATTGTTTGGCTGAAAGTGTTGCCATAGGAATGACTTCAGTTCTAGACTTGAAAGGTAACTAAAGGCCGTAGTTGCAGATGTTCCAGCAGTTTTTGTGAGACCATTGTAGAGTCATATACTTGATGATGGAGAGAGCCTTGGAGAAACATAGATATTTAAAGAATAGCTGAAAAAGCAGTTGTTGTTTTTGTTGTGTACCATCAAGTCAGAACCAACCCATAGCTGACACCCTCTGGCGGGTTTTCAGACAAGAGGAGATTGCCCATCCTTCTCCCATGGAGCAGCTGGTGGTCTTGATCTGTGTGCCTTCGGGATTGCAGCTTAGCTTCTTTCCACTAGGCCACGAGAGCTCCCTGAAAAAGTTGAGCTCTGAAAAAGAATTTCTGGAAAAATTAGAAAGGAGGGATGTTAAAGGGAGAGTTTCATGAGGGAGCAAGGTCCAGAGGTAGATGCTAAATGCTTAGTAGTGATTTTGACAAAAACATTTACAGTCCCATGATGGGAATGGAAACCAGATTATATGAATTAAGAAAATAATGCATGATGAGGAAATGAACATCTTTCAAGTAGCTTTTCTATAATGGGTATAGAATATAAAAATAGAAGGCAGATTACCCTTTGCCCTTCAATTGACAACACAAAATAGCTGTAATTATCTCAACGTGGAGTGCAACCTTGATTGCCTGCTCACCAAAAACAAACAAAAAAACCATTTCAACAGAATTTATAAGAAATGATATTTATAAAGTGTTACTTATCAAAATCCTACCAGAATGTCTAAGACATAATATTTATGAAGAGTCACTTGAAGGACACACAGGCTACCCATTTTCTTGTTGTTGTTATTAATAGTCATGGAGTCAGCTCAGTCTTACTGTAAAATGATAGAGAACAAAATTAAAAGTTGCCTTTTGCTGTACCATCCCCATGATCACGGAATGCCACTGTGCTCACCATGGCCACTGTGCCAGCCGGCCTCATGGGGCCATGCTTTGCATCCATTTCACAAAAATGACATCATTCTCTAGTGATTAATTTCTCCTAATGACATTCACAGGAATAGTATTGTGATTGATTGGATTTTCATTGGATCATTATCACAAGTACATTGCCAGGCTTTTTTCCTAATCTGGGTTAGTTAGGAGGCTCTGCTGAAACCTGTCAACCATGAAGATCTTCCTGGTATTTGAAATACTATTAATATGACAAAATTGACAACTTAGTACATCCATTCTCTGGATACAAATTTTGCTCCTAGATTAAGCCAGGCCGTCTGAATTCTAGAAACCAAACTTACACGAAGATCAGGAAGCAGTTGTTTGAACAGAACAAGGGGCTATTGTATGGTTTAAAAATCAGGAAAGGTATGCATCAGGGTTTTATCCTTTCACCATACCCATCCAGTCTTTTTATCAGATTTATGAGGTAGAATACGACTTAAAGGAACACATCCTCACAATTTCTACTGTTTGTAATCCTGCTGTTAACATTTTATCCTGTTGAGGGTCTTCCTGCATTTTTTAACTCGCCGTCTTTTTTTTTTTTTAATTGGAACTGCTTTATTGATTTTTTTTAAGTTGTTATTGTTATGTGCCATTGAGTCGTCTGCGAAACATAGAGACCCTATGTACAACAGCCTAAACCCTGCTCTATTCTGTGCCAAATGTATTACCTCTGACACACCTACCTCCATTACCCCAGTGACTGAATCAATCCATTTCATCGAGGGTCTTCCTCTCTTGCGCTGTCCCTCAACCCTCCCAAATTTGACATTCCTCTCCAAGGACTGATCCCTCCTTGTAATATGTCCAAAGTAGGTTAGATGAAGCTTCAGAATCCTTGCCTCCAAGAAGCAGCTTGGTTTCACCCTCTCTATTACCTGTTTGTTTTCTTAGCAGTCCGTAATATATTCAGTACTCTTCTCTAGCACCACAGCTCAAAGGCATCAATTCTCCTTCTATCATTCCTAGTCATTGTCCAGCTCTTTAATGCATATTGAACTCGCCATCTTTTTAGCTATGATGTCCCCTTCCAAGGACTGACTCCTTTTGACAACATGCCTGATGTGTAAGACAAAGCCTCAGAATTTTTACTTCTAGGGAGCACTCTGGCAACACTTCTTCCAAGACATATTTGTTTGTTCTTTTGGCAGCCCATTCAGTACTCTTTGCTGTTACCCCCATTCAAAGACATAAGTTCTTTTTCCGTTTTCTTTATTCATTGACCAACTTTAACATGCACATAAAGCAACTGAAAATGTCATGAGTTGGATCAAGCACACCTTAGTCTTTAAAGTGATATCTTTGCTCTTTAGCAATTTAAAGAGGGCCTTGACAGGAGATGTACCTCATGCAATACATTGTTTGATTTCTTGTCTGCTGCTTCCATGGGCATTGATTGTGGACTCAAGTAAAATGAAGTCCTTGAAAGTTTCAGTGTTATTTAGTGCTCATTTTTCCAGTTGTAATATTTTTCTTTTCTTGGTGTTGAGATGTACAAGTCAGTAGGGTTTTTTTTTTATTTTATTCAGTAAATATTTCAGGTTCTCTTTGCTTTAAGCAAGGAAGGTCCTGCTATTTGCATACCACAAGTTGTTGATGAATCTTTTTCCAATCTTGATGTTGTATTCTTCTGCATGTAGTCCAGCTTCTTGATGGTTTCCTTAGCTTATAAATTGAGTGGACATGGTGAAAGGAACCTTTGGAATTGGGATTACATTGCAACGTCTTGCCAGGGTACAACCTTGAGGTGCACCTTTTCTAATTTTCAACTATGCAGTATGCTGAGGAAATAATAAGAGAAGCTGGATTATAGGAAGAACTTTGTGTAAGGATGGGAGGAGGAAGAATTTAATATGAATGACAGAGCCTTGCTACTTGCTATATGAAACCTGTACCTGGATCAAGAAGCTTTTTTCCTGAGCAGAGCAAGGAAACACTGCATGGTTTAAAATGAGAAAAGATGTGCATCAGGGCTGTATCCTCTCTCCATACTTATTCAGTCTGTATACTGAATGAATCATTTGGAAGCTGGATTTTTTTAAGAAGAATGGGTTGGAGAAAGACTCATCAACATCCTGTGTTACGCAGAGGACACAGCCTTGCTTGCTGAAGTGAAGAGGGCATTAATTGCTTGCTGCACCTTGCTGCAAAGGATCAAAGTCTGCAACCTTCATGATGGATTACATCTTAACACCAAGAACACAGAAATCCTCACTACTCAGCCAATAGACTACATCATGATAGAGGGGAGGGAAAAAAGATTGAAATTGTCAATGGTTTCCTCTTACTTGGATTCACAATCAGCTCCCTTAATACCAGCAGTCAGGAGATCTGGAGATGTATAGCATTTGGAAAGTCTGTTGTCTGTCCTGAAAAGCAATGTTGTAAGTTTAAAGACTAAGGTACACCTAATTCAAGCCATATTCTTTTCAGTCACTTGCTATGCATCTGAGAGCTGGACAGTGAATAAAGATGACAGAAGAAGAATCAAAACCTTTGTGTTGTAGTATTGGAGAATAGTGCTGAATATCCCATCTCCTGCCAGAAAAACAAACATATATCTCGAGAAGGTGCAACCAGAGCGCTTTTTGGAGGATGGTGAAGCTTTGTCTAACATATTTTGCACGTATTCCTTGTAAAGGAACATCTCCCTTGGAAAGTTGGAGGTCAGCAAAAGTGAGGAAGATCCTCAACAAGATAGATTAATAGTGCCTGATGTAATGGTCTCAAGGATGTTGAAAATGATCAGGTTGGCACAGGAGAAGACAGGGTCGGATCAGTTCATAGTGTTGCTTTGAGTCATAATTGACTTGATGGCATTTAACAACAGTTGGTCGGTCTCTCTTGTTTGGAACGAAGAAGAAGGAAGAAAAGCAAAGATAAACACAAACAATTAGGCCAGAGGACTAATGGATTACGTGAATCTAAAGCTCTACTATCCTGAGACCAGAAGAACCAAAGGATACCTGATTGCCTCTCCTAGCCAGAACAAACTCCAGGATTTGGTGCGAGAAAAATGGAGAACAACCAATAAGAAGAATCAGCAGATTGGCAGTTTTCTTTGGTGTCATGTAAAAAGTCTTCCAGAATTAAGATGTTTAATACCAGAGGCAGGTTTTTTTCATAATTGAACTTAAGGTTTTAAGTTGTTTGAATTGAAATACTTCTATGATCTGCTATATTTTAATTTACTTTTAGTAAAAAGAATGCAATATTCTAGGTATTCACTTCATCTTATTGAGACAGAAACACTTCTTGATCACCAGCTGGTGAAAAGGTACTTAATATCTACTCTGTGCTCAGAACCATGTATATTAACTGTCTCATTCATTGTTTTCAGAGCGACAGGAAGAGAAACTGAAAAATAACAACAGAGACCTATCAATGGTAAGACACCTAAATATAACTTTGTGGTGAACCACTTAATATTCTTAGCAAAATACTGATTTGCATCGCACACTTCATACTTACTTTTCAGAAATAGGTAGTCTTGTATCTGCTATACATAATATATGAGTATTCTAGATAAAATGGAAGTGAAGCATTATTCTTAAGCTTCATTTTAATAATATAACCTTTTAAAAGTTGTCTTGGGGGAATCAGTATATCCCCTTCACACATTTTATTTTGTGTCCCTATTATAATTTTAAACAAAGTATTTTATTTTCCATCTTTTTTTTCCACTACTAGTTTATTTATAAAACTAGCTAGAATAAAATTTGAACGAATTCTTTCAATTTCCCTCACTCCTCCACCGATCAAATTTTACAACCCAATGATTAATCTCCCCCTCCCCTGCACATCCACATCACTCTGCTTTCAGCCTCTTCCACCCCTCCTTCTACAATAACAGTTTTATGTAATATTTATCCTTGTGGGACTGAGTTAGTTCACTCAGCATAATGCTCTCCAGTCCTTCCCAAGTTAGGTAATAATTTACAAATTTATTGCTTCTGAGTGCTGCATAGTATTCCATTGTGTGAATGTACCATAATTTCTCAGAGAAGTCCTAGTGGTGGTAGTGTGTGTATTGTGCTGCTAACCTGAAAATGTTTTGTGCTATTGAGTTGAAACCAACTCATAGCTGACCCATGGATTTTCAGAAGCAATAAATCGTGCAGGAGGCAATTGCCCATCTGTCTCCTGCAGAATAGCTGGTAGATTTGAACCTCCTACCAGCACAACTCCTTTCCACTAGACCACCAAAGATTCAAATCCAGCAGGTGCTTCTCTGGAGAAAGACAGTTATTCTCTTCTTTATAATTTATAGCTTCAGAAATCCAGTGGAGGTTGCCATGAATTGAAATCGGATTCATGTTGTGAGTTTGGTTTTGGGGTGTGATCTCAGCACAGGAGTTGAACAGTTGTAGTTGTTTATTATTATATCTTTTGCACTTTTAAGAGGTTTTTATGCTCTGAATGTTGGACACACTGTAAGAATAAGGAAATAGGATTCTATTATCTTTCTACTCACTTTTCGTAGAGGTGTGAGGCTTAGTCACGCTTATCTTAAAGATATAAACTCAAACTCGTTCTCCTTGAGTTGATTGAAACTCAGTGACCTTCCATCCAGTTTTTGAAGGTGTAAGTCCAGGGGGCCCCATCTATCTTTCTGTAGTGGAGCTGCCCCAAGGAGATGTATAGTCTTCTGGATAGCAGCTCCTCACACTACAGGTTATACTACCAGAGCTCCTAGGGATAGCCAGGCTCATTAAAGTGTTTGGCTAAGTTTTCCATTTCTTCATTTTAAACAAAAGATACCTAAATTGTGCATTACTTCTTTTTCACTCACTGAGAGATCTTGAAATTTTTACTGAGACATTATCATTTAGACGTGCAGGCTATAAAAGATGGCATTAATACATGGTCACCACAACAAACTTGGGGGTTACAAAAAGGAAGAAGAGAGAAAGATTGTTTATAAGCCAGCCATTCAGAGATAGCACAATTGTTAATCTTGAACCCTTATGATCTTGTTATTTACACCTCTATAAGAACTTTACATAATTAAAAATATGCTTTACTATAAGTAACAGAATATCTAAATAATTGCTCTTTTGGCTTAAACAGATAAACATTTCTTAATGTCTTGCAAGAAGTCCACACAATGGTTGCCCTGGGCTGTAAGCACAGCTCAGTGATGTCATCTAGAGCCTCAGTTATGCCAACATCAGTTTAGGGTTTTTGTCCTCCTAGTTAGATGGATCTTAGCTGAAAGCAGAGAGTACCAGAGGAACATCTATCTGTGTTTCATTGATTTGTGTTTCATTTGTGTGGATCACAACAAACTGGCTAACTTTGAGAAGAATGGGAATCCCAGAACACTTGATTGTGCTTATGTAAAACCTATACTTGGACCAGTAGGCAGTGGTCAGAACAGAGCAAAGAAACACTACATGGTTCAAGATTGGGAAGGGTGTATGCCAGGGATGTGTCCCATCTCCATACCTTTCAATCTGTATGCAGAACAGATCATCCAGGAGGCTGAGTTCTGTGAGGAGAAATGTGGCATCAGGATTGGAGGAAGACTCATCAACAGCCTGTGTTATGCAGATAACACAGCCTTGCTTGCTGAAACTGAGGAGGACCTGAAGCACTTGCTGCAGAAGGTCAAAGACTGCAGCCTTCCATATGGATTGAAGCTCAACGTCAATAAAACAAAGATTCTCACTACTGGGCTGATTAGCAGCATCATGATAGTGAAGAGATTGAGATTGTTAACAGGTTTAGTTTGCTTGGCTCTATAATCAACACTCTTGGTACCAGCAGCCAGGAATTCAAAAGATGAATTACAGTGGGAAAGTTAGCTGTCAGGGACATCTCCGGAGTACTGAAGAGCAACGATACCAGTCTGGAGACTAAAGTGCACCTGATCCAGGCTGTGGTGTTTGCAATTATGTGTTATGCATCAGGAAGCTGGACAATGACTGGGGATGATGGAAAAATTGATGCCTTTGAACTATGGTACTGGAAAAGAGTATTGAATATAACATGAACTGCTAAGAGAACCAACAGGTTTGACCTAGAGAGGGTGAAACCAGGCTGCTCCTTGGAGTCAAGGATTCTAAAGCTCCATCTGATATACTTTGGACAATTACAAGGAGGGACAACTCCTTGGATAGGGACTTTATGTTTGGGAGGGTGGAGGGACAGCATAGGAGGGGAAGACCCACAGTGAGATGGATTGACTCAGCTACTGGGGTCATGGGGATGGATGTGTCAGAGACAGTAAGGTTGGCTCAGGATAGAGCAGGGTTCAGAGCTGTTGTATGCAGGGTCGATAGGAGTTGCAGGTGACTTAATGGCACATAAAAACAAAACCAACAATTATTTGATGGTATTTTACATCCAGGTATCGTTATCTCAAATGAGAATAAGAATGATTGAAAGGCTTGAAAGGGGGTGCCTGCAGAGTTTGTCCTTAAAAAACAATTCCCAGAAGCCCCAGGCAGAACTAATACTTAGAATTGATGCATCAGAATTAGGTCACATGCTTGTCTCAGTACCATAAGTTGGCAAGGAGAAAGAGTATTGGAATGGAGTTTGGGTTAACAAGTACCTTTTTTCCCTAGTGAGTTCCTTTTTAAAAAAATGACATGCAACCAAGATTTTTTGGTGATGTGTATTAGCCATGTGGCTTTTCTGTTTTGTTTCCCTTTTCTTTTTTTCGTGTAAGATGGCAGTTTGTTGGTTTCTTTACAGGTTCGCATGAAATCCATGTTTGCTATCGGCTTTTGTTTTACTGCTCTAATGGGAATGTTCAATTCCATGTGAGTATTTTTATGTATTTTTGGATTATTCTCTTTTTATGTATTTATGCATTACTCTTTGTGTATACATGTATATTTTTATCTACTTGTGTATTACTCTCTATGTGTATAAGAAGTTAACTTTTTAGTACTATCTTGATGTAATTTCAAACTTAGTATATATACTACCCTCACGGTTGTTAACATTTTGCTCTGTTTGCTTTATCACTCATTCTTAGGCAGGAATATCTTTTTTTGTTTTGTTTTGTTTTTAGGCAGGAATATCTTGCCCAAGGTCACACAGCTAATATGTGAAAAGCTGTGAATCAAACTTACTCATTCATTTATCTTTCTCCATATTTATAATATATATTCTTTTAAAATTTTTTAAATTGATTTTCACATAATAATACCTTTATAGTATGTTTCATTCATATACATGTAGTATATGTTCTTATATATTAATTATTTTTGTATTTATCTGAATAGTTGAGAGCATTCTAATCCTTTACCCATAATTTGTGTGTATCTTGCTTCTTGATCCATAAATTCAGTATGTATCATTTACATACAAACAAATATGCATATTTATCTACATACATACTAACAAAGACTCTGTATTACGTAGCCCTCTTACTTATAAAAATTGAATTTTGTTAGTGTCAAATTATGATAGCCTTTTCACCCTTTAATATAAAGGAAGAGCTTAGGTGTTATAAGGCCTCTGAAAAGAGATGAATATGTTTCTTCTATTCTTTAGTTGTTTAATTAGCATGCTAATTCAAAATGAAAGTAGTCGTAAAAATATGCTTGACTCTTAAAATAAAGCCCCAGCAACTATTCTCATGTTTAATGATAAGGTAAGTTACTGTTGTCTAAACTAACATATAGCAGCCATGAGTAGTTGTGGAACTCGTTTTATTAGAAGTTGGGAAAATAAACCAAAGATGACCGTCATCTCTCCAGAGCTAACCTGAACTATCCTATGCAGACCAGCATTTCCTTTCCTTCTTTCCCCGTTCCTCTCCTGTCTGCTTGTCTCTCTCTCCCTTTCCGCGTGCCTTCTCTATCCCTTTGCCGGTCTGTCCTCCTTTCACCAACTGCTATGTGCCTACTTTATGAGTGACTTTTACTTGTTTTTTGTTGAGTGAAGGATTTCAGAAAGACTTTTCAAAGGAGCTGATTTCATAGGTTTGTCAGATTCTTTTTTTGCTCATTTGGCACAGGACAGAGCAGAGTTCGGGGCTGTTGTACATAGGGTCGCTATGAGTCACAAGCGACTCGACGGCACATAACAACAATAACAACCCTTCTTGTCGCCAGCCCCACTTAGTGACGTATCTGCATTTCTAGCCGCCTTTCTCCTCACACCTAGTGAGCTCTTCTTGATGATTCCAAGCTCGTATCAAGGTTTGCTTCTCTTAATGAAACTTATTGTGCTTTCTTCTTTACCAAACTTAATGTCTCTGTGATGGACTGTAAGACTTTCATATTTTTTACTTGTAGTAGTGTGTATGTCTTTCGAATTTAGAGCCTGGCATAGATGTTTCTTGAATGAATAAAAATATGTATGAGAGCTTCATGGGTAAGAAACAATATAAATCCAATCCCCCAAATGTAAAGATTATTCAAATTATCTTTCCCACTTCATCTCTTCATCCTTCCTTCGGTTATCTCTGATACGAGTCGCCCTCCCCCTGCCCCCGGCACTCCTTTCTCTGCCTTTAGGGATCTAGAATTAGGTCAGTCATTTTACTTGGATCCACCATAAGCACCCTTAGACGCACAAGTGAAGAACTCAGAAGACATATTGTACAAGTCTGATGTCAAAAACCACTTTAAATTGCTCAAAAGCAAAAATGCCAGTTTAAATATGAAGGCAAACCTGACCTAAGCCATGTATTTTTAATTGCTTCTGGTGTATGGGAAAGTTGGACAATGCTTAGGGCAGATCAAACAATTATGCCTTTGAATTGTGGTGGTGGTGAAAAGTTTTAAATATGCCATGGAATACAAAAGAATAAACAAATCCGTCTTGGAAGTGCAGCCAGGCTTCTCCTTAGAGGCAAAAACTGGAAAACTTGGTCTCACATACTTTAGGCATGTTGTCAGGAGGGGCCAGTCTTTTGAAAAGACATTTTGTTTGGAAAAGTGGAGGGTTGGCAAAGGAGACCCTCACCAGGTGAATTGACACAGTGAGGTAAGCACAGTTCAGATTGTGAGGATGGCTCAGGCTCGGGCAAGGGTTGGATCTGTTATACATAGGGTTGCTGTGAGTTGTAATTGACTTGATATCTCTTTTTCTTTTTTCCTAGATTCATACTTCTTTTTTAATATTTATTTTACATTGTTGTTGTTGTTGTTATGTGCCGTTGAGTCGTCTGCGACTCATAGCGACCCTATGTACAACAGCCCTAAACCCTGCTCTATCCTGTGCCAATCACATTGCCTCTGACACACCCATCCCGATTACCCCAGTCACTGAATCAGTCCACCTCATAGAGGGTCTTCCCCTCCTGCGCTGTCCCTCCACCCTACCAAGCATGATGTCCCTCTCCAAGGACCTGTCTCTCCTTACAATATGTCCAAAGTATGTCAGATGAATCCCAGAATCCTTGCTCCAGGATGAATCTGTTTGTTTTCTTGGAAGTCCAGGGTTCATTCAATACTCTTCTCCAGCACCACAGCTCTTAAAATTCTTATCCATTGTGTTTTACACTATCCTTCATTCACATTGTGTTCCATACAATTGTTCACATTCATTATGTTTTGGTTTTTTGTGTGTTTTTTTTTCTTTTTATAAAATTAATCACCAGTGAATGATGTCCACCAGACTCAATGGCTCTTAACTAGTTCTATAGCCACATTTTTCAAGACTAGCAAGTTAGCAGGTATCAGCTGCTACCTGAGCGCTTTCCCTGCTGACTTCTACTGCTTTAGGTTTGCTGGAATGACTCAGAATTCCCCAGGAAATACTAAATATACTACTAGAGTTGTAGTATAGCAACAAGATACAAATCAGGACCCTCATAAGGAACAAGGAAGACATCTCTGGTGGTTTAGTGGTAAAAACTGCGCTATAATCTCAAAGGCATGTGTTTCACATCCCCCAGCTGCTCTGCAGGTGAAGGATGGACAGTCTCCTCCACTGTGATGGACTGTCTCTGAAAACCCACTGGAGGGTCAGCTATAGGTCGGCTTTGACTCAAGACTACATAATAACAACAGTCATCACCCTGGATGCTCTCAGACCCTATGGTTCTAGCTTTCATTAGCTTCATTTTATTGGTCTCATTGCATATGCAAGACAGATTAAATCATGCTTCCTGAAGTTAGTTGATATAGATACCAGGTGGTCTTTTAAGTCTGGCTAGTTTCACCATACCTTATCCCACCCACCTGTCATAAGCACAGATAATAATAAAATAAGGAAACACTCCACTGCTGTCAAGTCAAAACTGACTGTTAGGTGATCCTCCGAAGGGTTTCCAAGTCTGTAAATCATACACATAAAAAGATTTGCCATCTTTCTTCCACAGAGCCAAAGGTGGATTCGAACTTCTAGAGAAGTACTGCCTTTGGGTTAGCAGCACAACTCCCTATGAAATAGACCACTTCAGTTACTGCGGAAAATCCAAGAATGATCTTTCAGCAATCACAGACAAAAGCCAAATTACCACATAAGCTCATAGCCCTATTTCATCTGTCATGTTATCTCTCATATTCTGATAAGAATTTGATTGTATTTGAAACGTGAATTTTAAATGACAATTTTCAAGATGCCAAAGTATGAAAATATTGCTAACAATGGAACCAAACAAACTTTCAGACTAGAAGAATCCGAGTTCATTTGATGAAAATGTCTTTAAAATTCTTAGGTCATAATTCTGGTTTAGTGCATGATAGCACAGAGAGTTTCATAATTCAACAGGATAATCTCTGCAGTAAATACAGAGAATTTGAATGATCAGGAAGTATTAAAAGAAGATGGAAAGAGTATACAGAGTCATTGTTCTGAAAGGAATTGGCAGACAAAATTTCATGAAACAACATAGGAGCAAGAGCCTGTGATGATGAAGGAAGAAGTTCAAGCTGCTTTGAAAGAATTTGCAAAAAATAAGGCCCCAGGAATTGATGGTATACCGAATTAACATATTTCAACTAACAGATGCTGCCCTAGGTGTGCTTACCAAGTTGTGTCAAGAAATCTGGAGGCAAAAACAACCATGAGATATCATCTTACCCTAAGAATAGCAAAATTCAACAGAGCAGCAAACAACAAATGTTGGTGAGGTTGTGGAGAAACAGGAACCCTTGGTGGGAGTGTAAAATGGTGCAACCAGTATGGAAGGCAGTATGGTGTTTTCTCAAAAAGTTGCAAATAGAAATACTATTTGACCCAGCAATTCCACTACTGGAAATATACCCTAAAGAAACCGGAACTACCACCCAAGCAGATAGATACACACTCATCTTTATTACGGCTTTGTTCACAATAGCAAAGAATTGGAAATAACCCAAGTGCCCATGAACAAACGAATGGGTAGAGAAACTATGGTGTATTCACATAATGGAATACTATGCTGCATTGAAAAACAAGGAACTCATGCAATATTATTCAAAATGGGTGACTCTGCAGGACATTATGCTGAGTGAAATATCTCAGTCACGAAAGGACAAATACTGCATAGCGCCACTGTTGTAAAATGGGACTGACATCTGAGTTGGGGAGAACTTAAGAAAAGAGGGGATAAATAATGTTTACTGCATTGAAATAGATGAGGGAGAGAACTGTTTAAAAGGAATATATGATTAGGTATTATTTTCATGACGAGTCCAGAATAAGAGCTGCATAGTAAAGTGGACTTCGGGGGTGGTGTTGGTGATGGTGTATGTATAACAATGAAAGATTTTTTTTTTCTTCAAAGAGAAAAGCAAACTGGGGGGAGGGGTGGGTAGGGAGGAAAGTGTGCAACAGTGTATGAATGGAAATCCAAAGTCTCTGTAAACTTTAATTTAAA